TTTTTTTTTTTTCTTTTTTTTTAAATGAAGCTTGTAAGGATTCCTAGAAGGAGAGGCGTGGCTATTTGCTTCATAGAAACCATCAATCATGTGGCAGTTCTGTCGATTTCCTCTTCCTTTCTTACAAATAGCTGCACTCCTGACCCACAATAGCTGTAAGTAGCATGCAGTAGACACATTTACAGCACTTAAATGACATACTTTACCAACATTGTCCAGCATTTTAAAAAGACAACTGTCATAACCGCAACACAAAACTATATATTTTAGGGATTGGGTGTGTGACAACCATTAATTATCAATCACCTCTCCTCTCACTGAAAGACTGAAGCAACTTGATTATAACCTCTCTTTTTTTCCCATAGATGAAGGTTTTATTCAACGTTTTCTCATCGCTTTTAAGGTTACATTGAAAGTATTTTTGTCTTACTGCCAGGCAAAGAAAACAACAATTTCTACAAAAGTCCTTCTAAACTTCCCACACAACAGCTTTCTACCACTTTGGCAGGTCTTTCAGTGAGCAGAGTTTTGGCTCGTCTCCCATTTGTGTGATAGTTGTTTGCTGAGTTTCAGGAAGGCTCACTTTGCCAGCAGGCCTGAAACAATAGAGCACGGTTTTCTCAGCTTGTTGCTGCTCGGTGTAGGCCTTCGACTGCAAGAGCAAGAGGGAAACTCCAGACTTGCCACCTCCTGCTTCTCCTCCTCCCCCTTCTTCTTCTTCGTCTCCTTCTTCTTCTTCTCCTCCTCCTGTTTCCCCTCCCTCTCTCCCCTCTGTGATGACTCAGAGAAATGTGCTTGGCTTTGCTCCCGTTGCCAGAGTGCAAACCAAGGTTCGATGAAAACGGAGTGAAATCGACAGAGGATTCCTTTACAAGAATTTGGCTGCATTGCGGCCTTAAGCTTTGTCAGATGTATCGAGTTCGATAAGTGCAATAAAAAGGAGAAAGATCTGTTGAACGCAGACCAAATGGATTCATGTTTCATAACTTATTCATACATGTTTGTGTGCTGTGCTGTTGTGCTGGAAGCGGCTGCAGGCATCCAGTTGCTGCCAAGCACAGTTAGAAAAATCATAGCATTTTTAATCCTGTGAGTTCTCAAGGAGACAAAAAAATACTGATATAATTTAAGTCAGGCTAATGTATTCTGTCAGTTTTTACTGTAACAGACCGAAACTGAAATCCTTTCTGACACTGATGTTTTTAAAATATCTGTTTTCTTTTCCTTTTGTAAAAGGACCTTTGGCTTGAAAAAACACACTGAGGAGAGTGATTTCAGATCAATTATGATTGACTATAGGATAGTAAGTGTTACCAAAATAGGTGGTATTTTTAAAAAGAGCTGTTACCTTATTTTTCTGTACGCTTTCTTGACTTTATCCTTATTTTAAATCATTTTGATTTCCAGTTTTATCATTTGAGTGGTTTTCAGGACACGTGGAAGAAGGCTGTTTCAAACAGTCACCCTCATATGACATTTGTGTGTGTGTGTGTGTGTGTGTGTGTGTGTGTGTGTGTGTGTGTGTTTAAAAGCCAGGATTCTTTTGAAGCTATTAAAATGTTGCAGAAACCAAATATCAGAGTGCAGAATTTCCCTCACACATTTTATTCTCTTAAAGAAAATTCATTGCTGACTAAAAAATTGTGAGCAGGATTATTTAGACTGGTTAAATTAACGGTCTGGTATTCGGGGAATGATTTTGAAATAGAAATAGAAATTTGTGTTCATTTTGTAATATATTAAGGTCTACTGTAAAATTACATTTTAAAATTACAGCAAAATAACATTTAAATCATTACAGGGAGGTTTTTATGGGTCTTCTTTTCTCCTGGATAATACATTTATATATTATTAAAGTGTTTTTTATAAACCTGATCTGACACGATGTTCACATCACAGGTTCATAACTAACAACATCAAATTCTCACATTAGCAATATAACTTATTTATTATTATTCCTTTTTGTCTGTTTGTACAAAATTATTATATTATTTATAGTACAAATAAAATGCATAGTAACAGCTAGAATGCTGATTATCAGTCTCAACTTTTTAATATATTTAAAAAATTGTATTTATACATATGTAAAGCAGACCCTTTCTCATCAGTTCTCATCAATGTGAAATCTTAGCTTATCTCAGCTGCCTATTTTACAACAAATAATGTGTTTGTTTTAAATATATTACATATATTTTATTGTAATATTTTTACAAACAACTACAGATAATAAATGTATGTTCTTAGACTATTATGTAGGAAGAATATTCATATTTAAAAGCATAATAGTTAAAGAAAAAAAGTGTCTGTCAGGCTGGTAAGTATTTAACCTCTTAGGACCCGGCGTCCACATATGTGGACATCACATTTTGGGTTATTTAGACCAAAATACTCAATTTTGTTCTACAAGGGCCTGATATCCACTCACGAGGACATTATACTGCTACTGTTCTATCAAAATTTTAAACGAATATCCTCATATGTGGCTCTGATTTTTCATAAAAACAAAAATAAGGTAAAAAAAAAAAACTGGTAATTCTAATTCTTTGTTTTTACATTCATTAGGCCCCAATCAGCCCAGATATCAAAGAGAAATTAAAAATGCATGCCGTGGAAGAGTTCGGGTCTTAGGAGGTTAAACAAATAATTTGAAGACTTTTTTTTTCCAGCGAATGACTCACAAATAGTTTTCTGGATGACTTTTTATTCTTGTTGTTTCTTGTCTGACCACTTTGCTTCTTCACTGAAGTTTTACATGCCATGGCTAATCTGCAGTTCTGCATCCTTAAAATGGCAGCTTTGGGATTTCTGTCCAGTCGGCCTTCCAGATTTATCTTTCCGTGCCAATGGAGCTCAACAACAGCGTGCTGAAACTAGTGTGAAGGTATATATCTTGAACACTTGGCTGTGTGTGATTTGTTTAATTTTTATTTACTTTTTGCAGAAGTATTTGTCACTGACCTCTATTATTTTCCTCCTTCCTTCTTAAATTTCTCCACTGTTATTCTCCATTTGAAAATTCAGCACACATTTTCCTTTCACGAAAGTAATTTGTAGATTATTTCTGTTTTGGCTGTCTTTGTCCTTCTTTATCTTTAAATCTGTTTTTCTTTATAGTTAATATTTCTTTCTTTATTTGTCACTCACCTCTGTGAGGAAGAGATCTCACACAACACATCCAAAGTCCCCCGACAGTTCCTGTCAGGAATATCAATGCGTTGTCACAAACATCCCTGTTGGGAGGGCCTGATATTATTCAACTTTGTGAATAAGAAATTTGGACCAAAACCCCAAGACAGATGGTTAAACGTGACAATAATAACACATCAGATTTTCTTGGCAGTCCTTTATACTGTGTTAGATTAAACTGTTGGCGTTCATACATTCAGCCAAATACAATAGTTGCTCCAAAGCTAGCACTGTAGAGGGGTCCCCCAGGGTTTGTATGTTGGCCTTGTGCAGTTTCTTCTCTGGAACAGCATCTGCTTTGTTCACTTCTCTGAAGTAGCATCCCTCAGATCACATATCTCACCACTATACTGATCTTAATAGCTTGAGCCTACGGCCCTCTGATACACACAAACACCCGCAGAGACACTATCACAGAAGCTCAGTTGGTCACTCTCTCACGAAGGGCACACAGACACAGATAATCGAATAGGTTGTGCAACACCGGTGATAAATCTGTTGAAAGAAATGGCCTACTGTAAAGGAAAGAGCGAGATCTCCCAGCTAGGGTGCTGGATAAATGTGTGTACGTGACAAAGAGAATAAGTTGCTGAGTTAGGTGTTTACTTAGCACCCTATTTACTTTACGATTACACACAAGAGTACAGCATCCATACAGTAAGTCTGTATGTCTGTGAATGTGTACTCCAGTACATGTGCGTGTTCTGCAGGAATTGATCCTTTACGATACACCGATTATACGCTGAATTGACTTGGTTTATTTGTTATTTGTATGCTTAGAACTGTTCTGTGTGTGTGCCTATAAAGTTGCATGTGTGTGCAAGTATTAATGCATGTGTGTGCCTGCACAGGGAGAGAGGTTTTACATGGTCAGTGGTGTTGCTGCTAGAAGTCTATGGCTGTGCTGGAGAGCCAGATTGTGTGAGTGTAGTGTATGCGGGTGGTCACATGTGTGTTTGTGTGTGTATGCATTGCGTGGAGAGAAGCTGAGTGACAGGTTTTTGTTTTTTTTTAAGCCTGCCACTGAGACTAGCATCAAACACCACCTCAACTCTTTGCCCTTCTCTAATCTCACACACATACACACAGTGTGCTCAAACTCACACATGTGTACACACACACACACACACACACACACACACTCCTGTTACAGCTCAGACTCCCTTTTACATCCCTGAGAGCTACACTGAGATCTTTTAAATACAAGAATAAAAATAACAACAAAAAAAGATCCGACACTCCTTCTGCAGGTATTTTACTCTCTCTTCACAGCAGTCAGTTCATCTGTCTGATGCATCTGTTCAACAAAGGAGACGCACACACACACACACACACACACACACACACAGACTCTCTCTCACTCAAACACACACACACTCTCTCTCACACACACACACACACACACACACACACACACACACACACACACACACACATAGAGACAGTTATCTGATGTAATCTGTTGTACAATGTTGGGCAACAATTATTTGATCATTTGTAAGTTTGCTCAATTAGAAAGAATGAACAGTCTCTAATTTGTAAGGTATTTGCATTTTAATGGAGAGAGACAGAATATCAACAAAGAAGCACACAGTTACATAAAAGTTAGAAATTGATGTGCATTTTATTGTGTGAAAAAATATTTGATCTCCTACCAACCAACAAAGACTCTGGATCAGATTCAGTTTCTTCCCTTCCACAATCATGGGCAAGGCCAAAGAGTGGTCAAAGGACGTCAGGGACAAAACCGTAGACCTGCACAAGGTTTGAATGGGATACAAGATCATCAGAAAGCAGCTTGGCCAGATGGTGACAGCCGTTGGTGCGATTATTTGGAAATGGAACAAATATAAAAAAAACCATCAATCACCCTCAATCTGGAGATTGTAAGATTGTACAGGACAACTTCATCACATTGAGCCAATGGACAATAAAATTTTGGAAAAGAACTTCCTTTCTGGGTGGTGGGTGGGTCTTTCAGCATCACAATGACCCAAAACATGTAATCAAGGCAACAAAGGAGTGGCTAGAAGCACATTAAGCTACAGACCTCAATCCTATAAAAAATCACCAAAATGGCGCCTGAGATGTGTGCAAACCTGGTATCCAACTACAAGAAACTTCTTACCGCAGTGCTTGCCAGCTAGAGTTTCTCCACCAAGTACTAAGTCATGATTTGCTTGCGGATCAAGTACTTCAATTTATAACTTTTAATGTAGTATGTTTAAAAAAAAAAACTTAACTCAGCAGGGGATTAAATAACTATTTCCCTCACTGTAGATTAAAACATTTAGTATAATAAGACCAAAGAACTACCATTAAGTAGTTAGTCTAGACAAAGTAAAAATAAAATGAAATAATTGCCTGAGTAAACATCCTATAATTAAACAAACACAAGTAAAAACAGACTCGTGCATATTTAGACGATTGCTAATGTTTGAGGTGTGTCTGAACTGAAGGCCTTGGTGCATATGACCTAGTTTACTTGATGCCATAGATCTCAAACAGGATGTTGAAAGTAAGAAAGACTGTCTTTGGTTAAAATATGTGTCAGGGAAATTCCTTTGTGACTCACACTGAGTTGGTGTTGGTTTATTATAAATTGGTTTGGTAAAATACTACCCTCTGGTCTCCTTAGTTGGTATTAGATTTCTGGGCAAGGCGGGAGGGGTGGATGAGAGGGATGGAGAGTGGGCTTGGGTGTGGGGAAGACAGGTTGTCACCCCTGCCCTTTATATTGAGATACAGTCTGGCTGATGACACTGACTCATCCTTGCTTTCCAAGCTCTCTTCTTTCCTCTTAGTAACCTCCGTCATGGCTTCTGTTCTCACCACACCCAGCGGTGCACATGCCACAAAGTGTGCTGCAGGTCTACACAATCCCCATTAGGCGTTTTTGTTGGAGTTTTTTTTCTTTCTTTTTTTTAAATCTGGGTCAGGAGCCAAATGAGAGTTATGCGAATAGGAAAAAATGCCTCTCAACAATGTCTATTATTACTATTGCCTTTTCTTTTTTAACAGAGACTCAAAGTCTTCCTGTATTCATGCTATGTAAGGACAAAATACACCATTGCCTGTAGATATGTCCTTTTACATGCTAAGTGAGGGAATTGCATCAGTTCTCCACATGATGTAACCCATGCTGCAGATAGGCAAACATAATAGTCTGAAAAATCTGGGCTCACAAAGAAAAACATGTTGGAAATATGAACTATCAACCACGCAGCTGACAGTTCCTTTTTCTTTTTTTAATTCAGTGCTGGTCTGCCTTAGTACAGTTTAGAGACATGGGATCCCGAGGTAATAGCGATACGCCAGCTTTACAACTTTTGGCTTTTTAGCAGTGTTAGCAGATTAATGAACAGCAGTGTTGGTGTGTTAGGCTTCCTATTGTCGGTGAAAAACTTCAGTCCAAATTAAAACATATCAAGACTGATTTCTGAGAAATTTTCTGGTTTGGTGACCACTTCAGGCACGAACATGAGGTTCATATTTGTGGTTCTAAAGAAGATGTCTCAGCAACTTTAACTTTAGCCTCTAAACCAGTCACCAGTTTAAAATTTTAATTTGTCTACTGGCTTGGCTATTGGATGACTAAATACTGGCAAAGCAAATACACCTTCCCATCAGCCACAGCTGTACTTTGTTCAGTTCAAATAAGTAAATGTTAGCATGTTGATACATTGGATTAAGATGGTAAACAAGGCTTGTTGGCACTATCATGTTTAACACACTTTTCCCACCAAAAGACAAAATTTGATCTTTTGTGTTTCATATCAGAATTTACTCTCCTGCCAAAAATATATTACTAAAAAAACACTAAAATGAGATTTTACTGACTGTGATTTCTTGCAATTAAATGCAAGCCAAAAAGCAGAGGTTAGTCACCGCAGGCAGGAAACATCATGAAGTAAACTGTACTGACGTGCCACTCATATCCATAACTTTATAACCTTGATCATGATTGTGCCGCTTTGCATACGCTGGGAGTTAGCCAGAGTAAACATATATTTGGCTGTGCTGCCACAGCTCATTGAACTGAGTGAAATACCTGAAATAACTCTGAGTCACAACTAAATCACTAAAGCATGTCATGAGAATTTGATCAGAAGCATTTTTAAACTTTAAGGACACTTTTTGAGCATGTTTATGGGAAGCATTTGGCACATGTAAAAGTTTTCTTTAGGAGTATACATGTATTCTAAGCAGCATGCAGCTAGGGAACATGCAGAGACAGTTAAACTCCTGAACTGGATGTCAGTAATGGAGGGTCTCTGTGTGTTTGGATAATTGCCTCATATTTCACAGGTAGGCATTTCCCCCCAGGGATAACTCCGGCCTTCCACGCCCCATCACCATAAGCACAATATCAACGCAAATGCGCTGAGTACTCTATTTGCTTTTCAACTGGGAACTTGACTCCCATGCTTTGAGCGAACAGTCATGACAGAAAGACGTTTTTCCAGTCAAATTAACTCAACTGTTAGATAAAAGAAAACACATTTCTAACTTTGCTCATTTCGTGCTTACATTCATGGACTTTCTAGTGTAAAATACATAGTATGTAATAATCTCAAAAATCAAGTCTGCAAATATCTTTCACTTGTTCTTATTTGCCAGGTTACCTGGCAAATTTCTGAAGAAAGGCTTCAGGTTTCTGAAGATTTTCTTCAGAAATCTTTGAACCACAGGTTACCAAAGGTCACACTACAAATGATCATGAGATCAAAAAACTGTGTGAAGCACCTCTCTATGAACTTATTCTAAACGAGGCACACACATACTAGCATATGACTTATACTTTGTTGCCTACACAGGGATTCCTCTTGTTAGTGGGAATACTGGCACAATGCCTGGAGAAAACATGTTTCATACATTTATGATAAACAAGTGTAAATACACTGGAGATCTTTAGAGAGTTCTTCAAACCAAAACCTCACCGAGTGAAGTTCAGAAAAGAAATTATTTATTTATGAGTTGATTCTATTGTTGGGTTGGATTTAGTTGTCAAACAGAAGTAATTTACTAAATCATTTGAATGCTATCATTACCTTCTTCTCACTAAACACTATCATTACTCTCATTACTTATTTTTGTACTTATACTTTCATAAGATGATACAGTAGTAATCAAAATTACTGACTTATTTACGTATTGTTTTCATGTAATTGTATTCATTGTGTTTTGCATTGTAGTGCTTTATACTATTTACTATTACGTGTCTACACTATAGTATTGACTGGTCTGTTCTTGCCCTTGGAAAACTGATCACATTATAACATGTCGTGAATAATTCAACATTTGTGAATTTAAATTTGATGGTATTGTTGTGAACGTGAAACCACAGGATGCCTTAATAAGAGCTTACAGAGTGATAAGATTATTTTAGCCATTTGCTAAAATGACTGAAACCTTGGGTGGCCTAAAGCTACGTACACACTGGAAGTGAGTCGCTCATTGCGCGTTGCTTTGATGCTCACAGCTGGTGGCTTTTATACATTCCAGGCTCTGGTTGTCCTGGTAACCTTCTAAAGTCCTTACTACCAGGTCATAAGTCAATCATTGGTATTCTTCACTCCCATTGGTAGTTTCCTCAGTGGAAGTTGAGAAGTTTATCTTCCCAACTTCCCATCGCCAATGGATATTTATTTCTTCCGTTGTTACCATGTTACAGCAAATAACTTCCAGTGTGTACAAGGCTTAACACATACCCGTGTGCCACATTTGGTTGCTCCTGATAATCGAGGAGGGGTTTGCAGACAAAGACGTAAACAAACCAAGGCAGACAAACACAGATTATAGTAACACGGATATGGAAATGGATATCTCTAAGTGTATATGTTTTTAATGCAAAGTTCTATATTTTAGTTTCTGTCCACGGAATTTGTATTGAAAGATCTTCACTTGGTTTTTCAGACTGCTGGATCCTCACAGAGCTTCAGATAAAGGTTAAACTTTCTCAAGTAATTAAGTATGTTTACCATCTACCGTTGCTGCTTAATATAAAATCATTTTCCAAGACTTTATATTAACTTATGTGCAAGACTTTGATTTTATAATGAGATTTATATTTTCATCTTAGAATAATGCACATGTATTTTTTAAATGCTGTCTTGTCTAAGTTCCTGAATTCTTCAAGTTGACCTTTGGCATCTATGCCTAATGCACCCCTTTTTAGGCATGAGTTATACAGATCTGTCACTCCTAATCAATCACATCAGCATGCTTCTGAAGAACCCCTTGGCATCAAATTTAAATGCACTTGGTAAGAAATTATTTCTTTTAAACATGCAGGGTTAATATTGTGATGGGGCATACATTAACTTAACCCTAACCAGCATGTAAATGCAACATTAGAAAGTGAGAAAAAAATCACTGAAGCAAAATTCAAAAACTCAAAGACAGTTGATCTCCTAGCTGACACACGTCCACCCTCCAACTGTTGGACTTCATGGCTCTAAACATCAAATTATTCAAAAATTGTTGTGGCTGGTATATCAAACCAGACATTTGAAAACACCAGCTGCAGTGGCCAGAAAGCAATTTTTGTTTCTCTGGGGTGAGAACACACTAGCATTTTGCAACCTCATCTTTGGATTATAAATATTGCCAGCAAGAGAAAAAAATGAGCGAACCAGATAGGACTGATGACTGAATATTTCTCAACATTGTGAAAATAAGCCAATAAAATAAAATGAATAAAGCACCCCTGTACAGAGCGTAGGCTTGTTTAAAGGCCAGTGAGTGATCATGAT